CACAACAATAACAGTAAACACCTGTTTGTGGCTGTGAACTTTGAAATTCATCTGCTCCATAATAGTCATTGCATGAAAATTACAGTATGTCGATTTTGAGATAATTTGGTCTAATGTAATCATTTTATGATAAAATAATTATTCTCTCCACGGAATTTTGTTTTGTAGAGATTTGATAAATATACAAGATAAAGTATCTAAGAATGTAATCAAATACTGTATATAAAAATAAAAAATTTGGTGTCCAAGTCAAGGTGTTGGATCTACCCAGATAGCACAGGTACGTCTGCAAGATGTCTGTTAAAGATCTCTTCATCTGGAAAGCGTTTGTTGTGTACAAACATCTGATAGACATCTTTAAGATGTCAGTTTTACATACATTCTAAATCATAAACATCTTAAAGATGTCGTCTAAACGTCTGTTTGACATCTGATAGAAAACGTCCTATAGATGTATTGCAGATGAGCAAACACTCTAAAAAACGTCTTGCAGATGTAAACGTCAAATAGACGTCTCCATGATGGACGTGTGCTGGACACATACTCAGTGATGGACACATACTCAGGTTAAATAAATGCCTGGAGGAGAAACTTTCTCCACGCACCTACCTTTCGACACACCATAACATTTCGCCACGCTCATTGCTCCAGTCTGCAGTTATCCCTACTTGGATTAAAGTCCAATCATAGTATTTTCCTGCCACTGCTGCTTCTGCGGCAAATGCATTTCCAGCTTTTGAAGGCTAGGTGGCGCTTTAACCATACACTTCTACAAGTTATCAGGTGAAAGGTTCAAAGTACATTTTCGTGAGTAGCAGTCAGCCTTGCCTTGCCAATGAGCTAGACTTGACGTTTATAGTAACAACCCAGAAAACCACAGAAACCACTTGGACACCAGTGGAAAGTTTGTTTGCACAAAGTCAGCTTGTAAAAAACCACTCATTAAGCAGGCAGAAAATGTAAAAATCTATTATTATTATTATTATTAATAATTTTGTTTTGTTGGGTGTATTCTTACTTTACACACACACAAAATAGTATCAGATTAGTTGTTTGACAAATGGTTACTTTTGTAAATAAATTTATGTTGTACTAGTAATATGTCCCAAGTTTTTTTTTCATTGTAGAAAATTCAAATACAATAATGATTTGCATATGTCAGCCAGTGCACAAGATAGTACCAACACTTTTTTTCCCACTTCAAGCACATATTTGCTGTGTTTAGTTCCTGTTTCCAGTCTTGCTTAGGTTTCCAGTTCTACCAGTGGTTATTGGTTAAGTACCACCTGTTCCTTGTTCAGTTCCTCGTTCTCTCTCAGTAGTTAGATCTCAGTTTTAGTTCCCTGTGCTGTCCGTTCTCATTCATGGTACATGGTGGTTTGTTTTCTTTGTCTCCAAGTTTCCCTGTGTTCTAAAATAAAAAAATAAAAAAGTACAGCAATCACTCCTGATTCACAATGACTAACCTTTTGGCATAATCATTCTGTTCAAAAGTTTACTTCCCCCTGCTCTTAATGTAGTGTGTTTCCTTCTTGAGCACCAGTGAATATTTACAGCTTTTGTAATAGTTTGTATGTCCCTAAATTATCCTCAGTGTGAAAAGATGGATCTTCAAAATAATATGGTCACTGTTGGAAAAGGTTCAAATCTGCAGAAAATGCTGGAAAAGAAAAGAACATGCGGGACATTGGACAGTTTAACTGTTTAGGACAGGGGTGTCCAATCCTGCTCCTGGAGGGCCACTGCCTGTAGAGTTTATGTTGCATTCCATTTACCTCAAATGTCGGATGCCAGAGCCCAAGTGGACTGTGTTCCAGTAGAGAAGTCAGAAAACCAAGATGGATGCATCCATTGTTAGCAATACCAGTCGATTAAAAACACATAAAAGGCGGTATTTTGCACAGATAACGCCATAGTATCATGTCCACAAGTAGAGGTTGGATATTACTGTGTGCACCACTGAGACCAGAACTCCAACTTAGGAAGGTGTTCAGTTAAAAGTTTTTACTGGGAACTTGAAATTTCCAACTTCTGAGTACAAATGGAACTCCGCATTAGCTCCAACCCCAATTAAACCTGAACCAGCAAATCAAGATCTTACTAAATCGTACTACAGTGTAGTACTAAAATTTAGAACTAAGGCCCAGTCCACATGAACACGGGCATTTTCAAAACTGTAGCTTTTTCTATGTGGTTTGGCTGTTCGTCCACATGCAAACGCAGTATCAGGTCACTTAAACCAAACCTTTTTGAATACTTCTGCCAGAGTGAAGATTTTCAGAAACTTTGGTTGCAGTGTTGTCATGTAGCCGATGAAACCGGAGATTTTGGCTGCGTCCGAAACCGCCTACTTCTCTACTATATAGTAGGGGAAAAGCAGTAGCCGAGCGAATAAGTATATCCGAAACCTCAGTATTCATAAAAGAATAGTCGAGAAGTTCCCGGATGTCCTATTGCTTCTGCCCAGCTTCTTTAGTGCTCGCCGATGGTTACTTTTCTATCCCAGGAGGCCACGCGAGAGGATACATCATAAAGAAGAAGAAGAAGAAGAGGATGCGTCATAATCGAACATGACGGAAAATTTGGATGAGGGCGTTTACAAATGTACGTATTACAAACCAAAATGGTATAGTATAGTTGTGATGTTGCTGTAAAAACACGTTTTATTATGTATAGCTAACAGGGGGGCTCCAGGAAGCACACGTACATCTCCAAATTAGATTTACATACATTTTAAACCACATACATCTTAAATACGAATACTAAATGTCAATTTAATCTGGTAGGAAAATCTTCGATATGAATTTCATAGAAGTATGTCTAATAGGTCCTCGATATGAAGTAAACATCTGAGTGATGTATATGTGTGTTATTGTGTAGTACAATTCACTGTTGTCAGCACTGTTTGCAATAGATGAATGTAAGTAATGTAAATAAATTTCCATAAACTAACTAAATATAAGTAATCTATTGTATTTGTCCATTAGTACTGTTGAAAAATTGAGGAACATTTGTGTTGGATAAAAAGCTACTTAACACATCATCAACTACCCCAGAATGTAAATGTAGTTTTGAGCACACAAATCTCAGAGGTAACTTGACTCTTGTCTGGATGTTACAGGGACAGATGAGACACACGTCTGCTTATCCGGCGGAGACGAGAGCGGCTAATGAAGCCCTCTTAACCAGAAAGCGGAATGCTGCATTAAGTACCTACTCATTGAGTAGGCGGTTTCGGACGCAGCCACTGCCTTGTGACGTCGGAGTGCGCCTGTTATCTCCTTTGTTTGAAGTCAGATTGTGCACCGCTATCTCCTTTGTTTACATGAGGTTGAGTCTGTGATTGGCCAACATGGCTTTATGGTTAGGGTTATATCGCCACCCGTTGGTTTGGCTCTTGACAGCGCTTCATAGCATGTTTTTGCATTTTCATGTGGACAAGATTTATTTATTTTTTTAACGAAGGAGGGAAGACTTGGTTTATAAAAATACCAGTGTACATGTTGACTAGGTCTAAAAGTGTTCAAGTATAAATTTATTTACTGTTTTGCCTTATGGACTATATATAAACATCTGCTATGTAAAATAACTTGTTTTTTTTTTCTTTCAGGACAGCACTAAATAAATAAACTGCAGTTCCCTTTCATGGGAACTTCGAACTGCGTCCTCTAGGGGTCGCTATGGGGAACGCCTCGTCATGACCAGTGTCTGAAGCATACATTGAAAAAACACCAACTCGTTTGCCGGCGACAGCCATGACGTCACTACCGTTGCGACTACAGTATAAATAGGCGCCGGGAGCACACATCATTCTCTTCTTCGTCTTCACTGACTGTTTTGTTTGAAGCGTGCATAGCTAATGTTATTGACTGCACGATAGTTCCACATCATATTTTATTGATACCCGCTGATTTGACAACATAAATACTAGTGGAGCAATCCTCCAGCAAACATAGGCGTCGAACACATTGTCGTCTCCTTTGTCTTCTGCGAATTGCTGAAGACAAATGCAAAAAAATAGCAGTAACACACGCAACACGAGATCACGGCATCTTGGAAGTTTGTGATAAACATTGG